TAAAATCTACAATGAAATTATTTATTTAAGTACAATATTTAGTACATGAATTTTTTTTATATTTTAATGTTGGTCTCATATTTAAAGCACGAGGTCGGTCACAAAAAGAACGTCTATAACAAAATTACTCGAGATTTTACCGTGGATTAATGTTGTACTTGAAAAGAATTTCTATTCAAAAATTTCTATTTTTAGTAGTTGTTAACAATACAATCACCCTAGGTGATTTAGTGTTAAAAATACTTTTAACTGTCTGCAAAAAATTCAATGAGCAAAATATACACAAAATGTTCTTTGTTAAAATAACATGGGAATTTTTATAAAAATATCCTTTGAACTTTGACTTTTTAGAAAACAAATGCACACAGATCAACAGTCATTCTGAAGTATATGATGATTAATTCTTTAAGAGAGATCATGAACTTTATTTAGTCAAATGTCAATGTTAATAATCTTCTAATTCATACAAGTCCCTCAAAATCTATAGTTACAACGTCTCTACTATTTTATACTGTAAAAACTAACATCTGATAGTAAACAAAAAATTCGATGCTTCTCTATTATAGATCGAATATGGATATATATCAAAATATCTTTTAAATTTCATATATAATATAGATTCTGATTTACCTGAATTATCTGCTATTGATGTTAGATCGACAGTTGCTATATCATTTCATAATCTAATTGAAAATGATTGATGATATATCATTACTGCATCACTAAATATAACCACAACTCCTACATTAACTATAAATAACCTCGACCGTCCAAAAAAATACTACAATAGATTTTAGATTTATTAACTACATTAATAAATTATTTTTTGTTTGTTAAATCTATAAAGATTTATATTTAATTGATAGAAGTCTTACACTTATTTAGAAATTATCCCTATTCCATTCTTAAATATTCAACGATACATTATATAATACAAACGAATAAATACTACAGTCGAGTGACACTTTTTAAATCTGAATCTTTATATTACTAATTCAAATCACGACAATGGATTCGATTTGTGCGATACATAAGATATTTGGTACGCTTTAGAACAAAATTTAGATAGAATGAAAATAAATAAAGAAGTCTTCGTATATTTTTAGTTTAGTAATATTGACTAATTGTTTATTATTTTTCTCTTTGTAATTTAAAATATTTATGTCAACAAAATATATAACGATCAATAGGAATGATCTTATCTTAATTTTTTAGAAAAACAGCTGATAAAAAGATTTATTATTTTATAGGAGATGCCATATTGATTTGTTTTTTCAATAACAACCTTCTTATTGATGATTGGTGTTAACAATGGTTGATATATATGGATAATTTTATGCTCCAGCTTTGTTCCGAGAACAATAAAGTGTAATTCGATAGAGCGAAACTTCTCCGTCGATTAGTGTCTGCTATATATTACACTAATGATAAATATATTGTTTGAATGATGTCGCTATTTACCATCAAGTTTTTTCATTGACATATCGATGTTTTGAATGCATATATTTGTGGTGAAACAATTGCATTTAATATTTTAAACAATATAGTTATTATGATAAAAATAAAGATTGAACAATATTTAATATTTATTTTACTTTAAACTCATATACAATGAAACAGTAGATGAGTACAAGATAAAAGCGTTCATATCAATAACCAGTATTTATTCAACTATGTGTTACACATTCTTGATCTTGTATACATCTATTGGCACGATTTTTAAAAAAAGATCGTATCTTCCCTATTACTTTGGGTACAACAATTCTCAATATAGTTGTAAGACTTCCCAAAAGTCCAATAATAGTTGCATGTAATGATCTAGTTATCCATTCTTCAACCATAAATTCATCAATACATGTTTGATTGTAAAAACAAGTAAGAATCGATTGAAGGGAGACATTCAAGAATATAACATCTACGCATTTTTCTGACACAATATATCGAACAACTGGTTGGGAAGAATATGAAACATCATATAAGACAGCAACAAGAGCTACACATCTTGAGGGTGGGTGTGGTTGAGATTAAGAGAAGAGATATTCACACCCATACCCACACCTCATATTTATACTCAATCTCCGTTACTATTTCTAGTTTGAATGCATTATGGTCACAGATAAAAGTTGAGCTTCAGCAATCGATACAATGCGATGTTTTATTTATTAAAATTAGATAGCAAATTTACTGATAATTAGTTGATTAGGATTTCTTCTCAGATTTGTCTTCATCACTTCTCAATTCATAGGAAATTTTTTATTATGTGTCCAAGTATTCAATCCAATTTTGTAACCATTTTCGATGATGGGTGGACGACCTGCATGATATGTTAAATGATCACCTAGTCCTAGTTCGTTAACATTAAACCAAAAGATACTATTACCAGCTAATGGACGAAATCGAATACCATGCTCAGAAGAATTTTTATCACATATTAAAATATCACAGAAGCGTTGATGAAGAGCTTCATTGAATTGAATATAAGGAAATTCTGTTGCAGCTTGAGAGCAATTTGATTGAAGATATGTAAAAAATGTTGTTATACGCTGTCCAATTTTGTTTATTGTATTGATATCAGTAAACCAATCCATGTGCGGTTTATACTATAACAAAATTCTTTTAATTAATTAAATTTTTATTATTAAGATAGAAAAGAATGTTGCATGCCTCTTGTGATTCAAGATATTTGACGACTTGCAATCGTTCAAGATGTTCGACATCAACATTACCTTGAAATTCAGCAAAACGTTGTTCAATACATTTGACAATAGGTGTCTCATGACGTTCTATAAAACCTGAACTTGATGTCCGACGTTCGTCCAAAACACGTGTTCCATCATTACCTACTATTGCAGAAGCTTTAAACCGTGCTTCTCTAAAATATAATATTAGAAGAAAAATATTGCGTTTCTAAAAATAGAAGCAACCATATGTTCCCATTAAACTTAAATTCTTTATCGTCTTATATAATTTGAAGACTAAATTGAGTAATTTTTATAGAATGATATTGAGTTTAACCATTATCAGAAGATGGTGATCGCTTTTTAAGAAACGTACTTTTATAGTGATAAAAAATAATCTAAAAACCTTATTTTGACTAAAGTTATAGAATCATGTCTACGAGGTTCTAAATATGAAAGTGATTTCACTGTATTCAGTAGATTTTAGCAATTTCTAAGTGCAAAAGAAAACTTAACGTGCTCTCAGAATGTTTTTTGTAGTGAGAACATATCTAAAATATAGGGTGAAATTATTTTTTTCAGGAGATATATATATGAGTGAATTGCAACTTTTTGGTACAATTGGTGCGAAAAA